CCATGTCAAAAAATGTAGATTTTTGATTTTTCTATGGGACCCAAGCCCCCGAAATAAGGGAAGGAAGCCGTTTGAGGATCTCAGCTGCCCTTCTGGGGTCGGTTGCATGCATATTACACAGGGTTTGGAGGTAGCCCTCCGAAATATTAGCTGAAAGCTTCCTCAGAAAGCAAATCTTTCCCACATCCTTCCCTGCAGTTCCTCTTTAAGAGGTGTCAGCATGGCTGAAAGAATGAAGTGGCTGCACATTGTCTGGCAGTGCTATTATGTGCTTAACATTTCCATAACAAAAGTGCCACTCGACTTCTCCCCGATTAATGCAGCTCGAGGGCTCTTGTCGGCCTTTAATAAAACATTGTTGAAATCATTTATTTAGAGCCCCTGGTTACTAGTGGGAGAATGACCATCTTTGTGCCAAAATATAGTGTATACAGTCCACTATTTTGTAGTAGATCATTCTGTTATTTAAGAAATTGATTAAATGGATGCCTTAGAAGGTATTTATGCTAATAGCACATTACTTATGTCATTCAGATAGTCAAGGGTGAACCTTTTCAACTGTCCAGCAGAGACAATCCCTCAAATAGAATACAGTAACATCCAACTTTACTTAACTCACAAGGTTGCCAGACCCACTGGAAACCCAGCCCTCCCAGAACTACTCTCCGGCTACAAGGCATCTGTAATGGGCTGCCTCCCAACAAGCCTACTTTGGGGAGCTGGGAGAAATGGGGTCAACTGACACAGTTTCAGATGCTCCTTCAGTGTAAGAGGTCATAAAACAAATAATGTGCACTTTTCTTTTTACCAGTTCGAAAGAGGTACGTGAGGTTATATTTGAGAACTTCCGCAGTTGAACCCAGCAAGCTAATGATTCAAAGCCAAAGTTTGAAAGTAGAAAGATTTTCAGTATACAGCTTGGTGTCTCTGAGAGTTCTCATGGCATTTCTTTCCTTTTATTCTATATGACATGGCCCTGCTGGGATGGAGTGGGGGTTTGAAAGCAGAAATGATGAGGAAGGGCACCCCACTCCATGTGCTTTCTCTTGACTCTTCGAGAGAGATGCTACTGCTCCTGAGTTGTGTCTTCACCCATGTGGGCCCCATTGGGAGGGCTGTGGTGCGCCCCAGATGAGTCAGAGTGTGGTGGCCCCTTAAGTTTGTGGCATTTGGCACCAAGCGCTGCGCCCTTACTTATGGACATTTGTGGGGGCCCAGCCTAAGCACAGGGTTGTCCTGCTACATGGTACTAGAATTTAGTTCCCTCTAGCCATTTCTCCCCTTCACATAAGTGTATGGCTGGCGTACATTGCTATATATTGTTAAAAATAAACAGAGACCTTATGTTATGTCCATTGTGGTCATAAACAAAAGCGTTGCTGTGTGCTTGGGTGAGCAGTGAAGCCTGAACCTCCTTCTATTTACTGTATGGTCACTGTCAGTTCAATGAACTGCCTCCTTGTTCTCCACCATTGTCCCACACTCCCTTAAACATTTGTCACTGAAGTGCCCCCAAAGACAAATAAACTGTCACTGAGAATGCAAACCTGCTAACGGGGGGAAATGGGACCAGCCTCAAGGACACATGATTTTATGTGAAATCCTAAGGGAGTTCCTTGCACCCTGGAAGACTTCTGAGAAGAATGGCACTTTTCCAGAATCCCCAGGAAAAGCCAGATACTCTTTCTTTCAGTAATGGTACTTCCAGGCATTCTCCATGAGACATTTGGCCGTCTCAAATGTCCAAAATTCCAAAAGGGTCCCCAGAGAGCGTGAGATATTACAGATGTCAACATCTGTAAAAATTCTTTCTGCCTAGGTGCAGATGGCAACATACAGTCCTGTAACCAAAGGTTCTAAGATCTCAGCAACCTGTTCTGGAATCCAACTAGGTCTGTAGAGGGACGAGGGGGCTCCTGGGCTCTAGCATAGAACTGTTTAAATTAAAATGAGCCACCGATCAATGTTCACTCTCTTCAAGGAAGAAAGCATAAAGCTTCGTGTCCTCTCTCCCCAACAGCGAGCTGTGTTGATTTATTCCAGGCAGATGCTTTTGACAGGACCCTGTAAAATCAAGTCGTGAGTTTATTGTACCAGTTAATTATCAGGCCTTTTCTAGTGCTAATGCCTTTTACTTCTTACTGGGGAAAACTGGGCCTTTTACTGGGACAAAGACTTAACTTTTAGTCAAGAATGTGTTAAAATAACAGGAGATGGAGATGATTTAAATATATTTAAGGACAAACGCAGGAGCATTGCTAACTGGAGGTTTGTAAAGAACGCTGATTTCATTTACAAGTCTCTTGGAATACTCTTTGTTCACTTCCCAAAGAAACAACGCTTTCAGCTTTGTTTTAACAATATGTTTACTCAACCATTCAGGTGACTGGGGATTGCAGCCACACACCACTCTCCTAGCCTCTCTGATGCTACAGCTGTCTCAGACTTTCTGATGCTACACATACACCAATCTTGGTTTTAGGTCCAACAAGAAGTGCCTCGAAGCCCTCCAGAAGAGCTGGGAAAAGAGCGAGTTAGAGGCAAAAGAAACCTGGAAAGTAGAGGGTGGGAGTGGTGGGGGGAGGAAATTGGAAAGGGGCATAGCTTTGTTAATTACTTCAGGCAGCAGAGAAATCTGGTTATGTTTTCTCAGTACATGTTAATATCATATAAAGAGACACGAGATCTTGCTAATCTGTCGACCCCTCAGACAAAGTTTATTTGTGGTGACTTTTAAACTCCTGACTCGCCTTCCAATCACCGCGTTTAAAATGAAAAGCTTTAAATAAACACCAGGAATAGAAGATAAATAAACTTTTTTTCCCTCTTGCAAGTGCCTAGCTTGGCGAGGTTCAGACTCAAATCCCCAGAGGACAGAGCGCTCTCTTTTGTGTTAATGTTTAAAAGATTTTCCAATGCCGGAGTTTATTCCTACTGCAAACATTTCTATTTACAAGGTCAAGTGTATCAGCACTCGACACAGCTTAAGAGTGTAATTATTTATCTAAGGGCGTTTGAGTGTAGATCAGTAGCTCTGGCAGGAACCCAACCTTCAGCCCACTGCTAAACAACTCCTCACAACAATATTACAAGTTCTGGTGATTGTTCTTCTCCCCAGTGTGTTTACTTTTGCCCGCCTGAATGTTTTGTAACAAAATTTTGTACTTTTTCACCCAAAGTGTGAAAATGACTTTGAAGCAGTGTGCCAGGTTTCCTAAGACCTATTGGTAACAGATGTTATTGGCATGTTTGATTGTAGGAGAATGTCTGTGGCCAGATAGGACACTCCTGGAGGAGGGGCTTGGGGGCTCCCCTTGGAAAAGAGGGGAGGGGAGAGAGACCTCTGGGTTATCCCCAGATTATGTAGGAAGACACTATTTTGTGAGTTCTCTCCACAAACTAAAAACCAATGCAGGCCAGTGGGTTATATCTTTTTAGCTGCTTCATTTACACATGTCTAATTGTTCATTAAATTAGAGGCAGAAATAATAACCCTCATTTCTTGTCTTGTACTGTACTTTAATTTCAGTTGATGGTTGATAGATTCCCAGGGGCTCCTCCACCCCCCTCCTTACCCATTATTGGGTAAACCACAATGTAACTCTGGAAAGTAACTACACCATATTCATTATTTAAAAACTCTTTACTGATGTACACATTTTAATAAAACAAATAACAAAAAATACAAAGCCATAGTTACTTAAAACATAACACTTTTTTTAAGGATGTCTATAAAAATACAATGTTTAAGGCAGTTTGGAAATGCATTTATACATTTCTACAACGTCCATAAATTCTCTTGAAAATAACAATGTTAACTTCAAATCTATAAAATACACTGTACATCTTAAGACTGTTCTAGATAGAGCACACTCGACAATGAACTGTGGGTTTGGATCCCCGGTGACAAACGGATTCTATACATTTCAGGGAGGAAAGGTGTAACGTGGCTGCAGATTTAAAATTTTAATTTCTTTTTTAAAAATAAATTATTTTTGAAGCATACACTTTATAAAAATTCTATATACAAAGTACAACTGGTAACAAATCCCAGTTTTAATACACTTTATATAGAAGTACCAGGGTTTAGCACCCTGATAAAAGCAGAGGCGATATATTTTCTCCGCATATTTGTACATACAATTTCTTGATGTAAAGAACAAAAATAACAAGACAAACAACGTAAAGAGGCTTTCACAGATGGCAGTGCAGAGCTCTTTTACATAAAAAGTTGCATTGTTCAACACCACTAGCAACTCTTTAGATCAGCATTTTTTGACCCTTAATCCTAAGAAATGTGCTAAGAGATCAGAGTGGTGGCAATGAAATTAAGGTCAAGGGCTCAAAGTTATCCAAAACTAATTCAGGCATATTAACCCCTTCCCATTCCTCCTTCCCCCGCCCAATCGGAGAATTCTGAGCGCTGACCAAGAGTAAACACAGGAATCGGTAAGTGGGACTTTTCTGTTTACTCACGATTGCAATGTCCTCACTGGCCATAATAAAAGTCGACACCGGCACTCCACCCCCTACCCGGCGAACCTCCCCCCCCCCCCGCGCCCCTTGCACCGCAAAAATGCTAATAAACAGATAGCCCCTTTTGCAAATGTAAATCCTCCTTCAAACTCCTGCTCCAAGCCCACTCCCTTGAAACTCTTAGGGCCCCACAGGTCGGTATCCTCTCTTCCGAGTCCAAGACTACGGTTCCGTACCCCCCTCCCACCCCCCGCCCATTCCATCCCGGGCGTCCTAAATTCTAGCTAGGCCGGTTTCTGCAGGGCAGACGAGCTGAGAGTTTCTGGAGCCTGGAATGGGGGCAGGGGAGGATGTCCAAGAAGTCATGTTCGGGAGAGGACACGGGGGTTGTCGTGAAGGGGAGACCCGCTAGGCAGAGTCTACTCAGCACGTTTTGGAAAGGATCCCAACCATCCCCTCTGTCCCCCAGCCGCAGGTGCCCCGGCGCCGGCCCTCCAGCAGCCCACGGTGGGGGGGCGCGAGGGCTAAACGAGCTGCGGGAGCAGCAGCAGCAGCAAGATGGAGGCGAGCGGGGTCCAGGCGGCTCCGGGCGCCGAGCGGCCACCGCCGCTGCTCCTGCGCCCGGGCCCGTAAGGCAGGTCCCCGCGGCCGCCCGCCGCTGCAGCGCCGCCGCCCGGGCGCGGCGGGTGCGGGACGCCGTCGTCGTCGTCCAGCAGCTGCTCGCCGCCCGCGCCCCCGGCGCGCTGCTCGTCGTCGTAGTCCTCGTCGTAGTAGTCGTCCAGGCCCCCGTCCGAGCCGCTGCTGCCCGGGCCGTTGCCCAGCTCAGCCCCGAAGCACAGGCGGGCCATGTTCTCCTTGACCGACTCGCAAATGGGCCGCTCCAGGCCGTCACACACGCAGTCGTTGAGCAGCGCCGCCTTGGGCACAGCCAACATGTCCTCGATGACCGTGCGGCACTCGTCGGTGCAGCGCAGCCCGTTGAAGAGCTTGCCGCAGTAGGTCAGGTAGCGGCTGAGGGCCAGGTTGCAGCGGCTGTCGCGGTCGCAGCGCCGCCGGGCCTCGGTGCAGCCCATGACCCCGCCCGCGCCCGGGCCGCCCGCGCCGCCGCTGCTCGTCCGGGGCAGGCACGGCTCAATGGCGCGCTTGGTGGACTTGCAGTTCTCGTCCTGCGCGCAGTCACAGTCCTCCAGGGCGGGCCCGCGGCGCGTGTGGTTGAGCTGAATGAGCGCCGAGATGCAGTGGCTCGGGCAGCGCCAGCGCGACGAGAACGAGGCGGCCGAAGCCGGGAAGGCGGCGGCGGCGGCGGCGGCGGCCCCCGGCGCATCGCCCCCGCCGCGCTGCGCCAGCACCGGCGCGCACGCCTCGGCGTACTGGTTGTAGGCGTAGCTGCACTCCGGCTCCCCCTGGCACTGCAGCAGCGCCTGCCAGCAGATGAGGCGGCGGCCGTGCGCCAGCCCCGAGCCCCGCGGCGCCGAGCCCAGCAGCTGCAGCAGCGCCATCAGGCACAGCCAGGCGCCCGGCACGGTCCCCGCGCGGGCCCCGCCGCCCAGCAGCCCTGCCACCATCGCGGGCAGCGGCGGCCGCCGGGCGAGGAGGGGAAAGGAGACGAGGCGCGGGCAGCGGCGGACGCGGAGCCGGTGGAAAAGTTTGCCCCAGTCCTGCCAACTTCTTGCATGAGTGTTTTCATAAATCCATGCGCGCCGCTCGCTGGTGCCGCGCCGCTCGCAGAAGGTCCGGCTGCCCGCTCGCTTGGGCTGCGGTGGTTTCCCAGAAATGCACAGCCGCGGAGAGCCCCTCCGGTCGGCCCCGGACGGTGGCGGGAGGCGCTCACTGTCGCCCCGGGGGGCTGCGGGCCGCGGGGCCGCGGCGGTGCTGCAGGACCTCGCGGCGCCGCGGGTGCATTTTGCTCCGCGCCTGCAGATCCGTTGTGCGGCCGCAGCGGCTCCTTCCTCCAGGGCTCAGCGCCGCGCCGCCGCCGCCGCCGCCGCCGCCGCCGCGGGCTCTCGCATCCCGCCGCTTCCTGGCTCGCGTCGGTGCGCTGCCCGCCTTCCCGCGGCCCGGACGCCCGCGTCCCCTCCCCCTCCGCCCGCGGCGACCCCGGCCTCGCCAAGCTCCGGGGAGCCCTTTCCGGGCGGCGCGGGGAGAACAAGAAACTCGGCGCGGCCGGGGAGCGGCTCCCGGGCTTCCCTCGGCGGCAGCTTCTCGGGTGACAAGGGGCCCGGGGAGCGGATCCGCTGAGCCCGGCTGCGGACTCGCTGGCTGCGAGGCTTTAAATACAAAAATGGGCCGGGAGCCCCCGCGTGGTGCCGCGGTGCCCCCTCATTATGCATGCATGGAAAAGCAAACAAACAAAAACATTAGCAACGCTCCTCCAGCTCGCCCAGCCCCGGCCCCGCGCGCTCCGAGCCTGCCCGCTTTCTCCTTTCTCCACTCTCTTTCGCCCTTTGCTCGGCCCCCTTTCCCGGCTTTTCGAGATGCTATTGGTCCTGCCTGTTGTTGTTGAAACTTTTTTTTTTTTTTTTTTTTTTTTTGTGCCGCTGGAGTGGAGTGGGGTTGCGGAGTGGGGGAGGGCGGGGAGGGTGGTGGGCAGCTCACATTCAGGCATTCAGGGCTTGAAAGGAACGGCTTAAGGAGCCTGACAGAGGCCTGGGAGCTCCTCCTACTCTTAAGGAGGCTCGGATATGGAGCCCAGGCTCGCGCTCAGAACCAGCGGGCAGGGTTCAGGGGCAGCTGTTTGCGTCCGGCTCGGCCACAGGCCTTTTTGTTGGGTTCTTTTTTCTTTTTCCTTTTTTTTTTTGATAGTTTTATTAATTCTCCCTGGCTCCTACTGTGCCTTCGATTGCGTTCAGAATTCACTTTGTTTTTTGTGGTTCCCTGTCTTAGAGACCTGATCACGATTGGGGGTGTGTGTGTGTATGTGTGTGTCGCGGGGGTGGTGGGGAGGGGATCAGAGTATTTAATGTTGAACTTTAAAACTTATGAAAAACAAAACCCAAAAGCACACAAGAAAGAGGCACACACTTCAGTTAGGGGGATGCTGTTGAGACATTTACAACGCCCCCGCCCCAGCACACGGTCCCACTTTGCCGCTCTGGCAGGTATGGCTCTTGAGCCAGGCATCATTGTCAATTGCAAGACATAAATCCAAATCAACCAGATTAATTTTTTAGGGATATAAGTTTCTAATTCGGACGGCGATGAAAAAATAATTATAGTATTAAAAATCTCTAGGAATGTTGAGCAGCACCATATGGCCGCACTCAGAACATAAAGGAAGGGGATAAATTGGCACGCACCAAGGTTTCTATTAAAGTGTGTGTGTTTCAATCCCTCCCTCGGTTAAGGGAAGCCTCCTGCGGTAGAGCAGCCCGGGCAATCCAGGAGCGGGAGTTTGCAAACTACCTTAACTGTGGCGCAACGCAGCCTTCGACCACCAGAGGCACCGGGCTTCTGCGGCCTGTCAAAAACTGGCGCTTTTTTCCTCCCCTTTCCGTGGAGAGACTATCAACTCCATCTGTCACAAAAATTAAGGCTAAATCCCCTCTCCAGAAGCAGAGGGAGCCGGGGCTCCAGTGCGCACGGAGTTCGGCTGTCCGCCTCTCCCCGGAGGCCCCGTGAATTAGAAATGGCAAAAGTCAGAACAGAGCTTCAGCGTAGGAAGATTTATCAGGCTGCAAAAAAGCCTCCCGTTCCTGGGAAGACTGATGCATTCCTCAGGGGCTGTCTGCCTTAGGAAGCTGCACCTCCGCAACCCCAAAAAATAAAAAATAAAAAACTTTAAAATAAGTAGATTGACGTAAGGCAGACCATGTTGTTCTGACTTGAGTACAGAAAACACAATATCTATCTATCTATCTTTATCTATCTCTGTGGGGGGCGGTTGCTTTTGTTTTTGTTTTTGTTTGTGTGTGTGTGTGTGTTTTTGTTTTGTGTTGTTTTTAAATAGAAAGGCTGCAACTGTGGCCCATCAAAACAACTATTTCCCAGGCTCTGGGTACATTGTTCCTTGGAGTTCACTCAGTCCTGCTAGGAGGGCTTGGACAAGTCACACTCCTTCTCCGAGACTTGGATCTTTCACATGTAAGGTTCAAGGCCAGATTAGACACTTGAAATCAAGTCTTTTCATCTTTAATGCTCTGTGATTTTAGGCTTATAAGGACAGGGTCAACATTCAGCTGCACTTTTAAACTAGTGTTTGTTGAGTTCCTTTAAATGGTGGGTCTCAAATCTTAGCGAGCATGAGATTGCGGGTTGGCCTTGTTAAAACCCAGAAGGCTGAGCCTGCTCCTGGATTTCCTGATCCAGTAGGGCTTGTGGGGCCTGAGAATCTGCATTTCTAACAAGTTCTTAGGGGACTGCTGCTGCTGCTTGTCTGGGGACCAAACTTTGAGAACCACTACTCTAGAGGTCCACATGCTTTTGTTGTTGGTTGCAAAATTTGCCCATCCTGGTCTTAATTCAGCTCTCGGTGGGATTGAAGGGAGTCCCAAGAATTTTGCATGCTCTGGGGACACCTCCATCCCAGGCTCATGGCACTCTAGTAGACCGGCAGAGCAACCAGCTGCCTGAGAATGCGGTTTGGATGAGCTAGGAGAATGAATGAACCCCCTTTCCCAGAAGTCCCCGAGACCATGAGTACCACTGTGTCTGACATCCAGGTTTTCATTCATAACCACCAGACTTCCAAGCCATCTCTCATCACCCAGCCACTAATCCCTGTATTACTCTGTATATCTCTTAAACTGGCATAATTCTCATCATGAGCAACCCCCTGCCTGAAAATACCCCACTTCCAGTGGCGCTCTCAATGTGTTCTCCCCTAAATTTCCTGTATCTTCAACCTGCTTTCTGGGCTGGACCTTCACATTCTTGCTCTAACTAAAACCCAGCTGAAACCTAGGGAACAGGAGAAAATATTTGCAAACTATATGTATATGCAAAAATATGCATATAAATGACAGACAATTAGAATAGACATTTTTCCAAAGAAGATATACAAATGGCCAATAAACACATGAAAAGGCGCACAACATCACTCATCATCAGGGAAAAGCAATTAAAACTACAAAGAACACTCACCTCACACCTGTTAGGATGGCTATCATCAAAAAAATGAGAGGTAACAAATGCTGGCCAGGATGTAGACAAAAGGGAACCCTCATGCACTGATGGTGGGAATATAAATGGGTGCAACCACTATGGAAAACAGTATGGAAGTTCCTCAAAAAAATAAAAGTAGACTTACCCTATGATGCAGCAATCTTACTTCTGGGCATATATCCAAAAGAAGCAAAATCAGTATTTCAAAGAGATACCTGCACCCATGTTCATTGCAGGGTTATTCACAATAGCCAAGGTATGGAAAGGGCCTAAGTATCCATTGATGGACAAAGGATGGATAAAGAAAATGTGGTGTATATATATATATATATATAATGGAATGTTACTCAGCCACAAAAAAGAAGGAAATCTTGCCATTTGTGTAAACATGGATAGTCTGAAGGCATTATGCCAAGTGAAGTAAGTCAGACAGAGAAAGACAAATACTGTATGATGTCACTTATGTGTGGAGTCTTAAAAAACCAGATTCATAGGAACAGTGGAATGGTGGTTGCCAGGACCTGAGAGTTGGAGAAATGGGGTGACGTTGGTCAAAGGGGCAAACTTTCAGTTACAGGATGAGTAAGTTCTGGGGATCTAAGGGGCAGCATGGTGACTGTAGTTAATAATACTGTGTTAAATACTTGAAAGTTGCTATAAAAGTAAAGTTTTTATCTTCTCACCCTAATAATAGCAATCAAATGGTAATTACATGAGGTGAAGTTTGTGTTAACTACCCTTATTGTGGTACACATTGCATAATATATGTTTATCAAATCGTCACATTGTATACTTTAAATGTATACAATGTTATATGTCAATCATATGTCAATAAAGCTGGGGTGTGTGTGGTGGTGGGGGGAGAGTGGGGGAGCCCAGCTGGCTGGCCCTCCTAAGTACAGCTTCCACTTTACAGATAGCAGTCCTGGCTGAGTTTTCTTCCATAGCCCACAGACCACCAGACGTTGAAGTGAGTCCCTAGGCCTGTTGATCCTCCAAACCATTCTCTTCCCTCTTCCCCGGGGACATCTCTAACTTCCTTGACTAGCATTCTGTTAGCTTCTCCAAGAGCCACCTACTGAGTTTTCCATCACCTACAGCCCTTCTCAACCAAGATTGCTCACGGGAACCACAGAAGACAGAAAATGAGTTGGGCTATTTCCTCAATCCTCTCAAGGACCAGTACCTTTCTGGACGCAGAGGAGAGAAGTATGTCTGTCGCTTACAGTGGATACTGTATGGGCCAGAGCTTGACCAGAGAAGTCTCTGAGTGAGACAGATGAAGGATTTATTATGGAGTGGTGGCCACCCACAATTGTGGGAGCTGGGGCAGCAAAGCGGTGCAGTCTGTTTTTTTTTTTTTTTTTTTTTTGCTTCTGTTGTCGAGCCTAAGTTCACTGTGGTCAGCCAGATAAGAAGTTGAGGAAGAATGCTGGGACAACATGGAGCCCATGAGGAGAACTGG